GAAATTATAAACTAACTAGACCTACCTAACAAACATCTATAAATCAATCTATCTTTCTTTCTTTCTTTCTTTCTTTCTTTCTTTCTTTCTTTCTTTCTTTCTTTCTTCCTTTCTTTCTTTCTTTCTTTCTTTTCCTTTCTTTCTCAGAGTCCTACTCTGTCACCCTGGCTAGAGTACAGTGGTGTCACCAGATCTCACTCATAGCTCACTGCAAACTCAAACTCCTGGTATCAAGCAATCCTCTTGCCTCAGCCTTCTGAGTAGCTGGGACTACAGGTTCACACCACCATGCCTGGCTAATTTTTCTATTTTTTGTAGAAATGGGGTCTTGTTCTTGCTTAGGCTGGTCTCAAGCTCCTGACCTCAAGTGATCCTTCCACTTCAGCCTCCTAAGGTGCTAGGATTATCGGCATCAGCCATTGTGCCTGGCCTTGCTGTTTGTTTTTGCATTCCAGTTTAATTCTCAGACTTAAACACCCTGAAAACTACATGAAGAGTTTGCATGGTGATCTATGCTGAGGCTTCAGCTGGTCCTAAAAATCACTGAGGCTTTGAAAGAAGAGGGTGAACTCTTGCCCAAACTAATAAGATTCACATTGTATGTTTTTATTAGTGGTAAAAAATTAAAATAGAGAAAAGAAAGAGCTGTAGACTTAAACCAGGACCTAGTGCAACTCCAGTTTAGAACATGATATATAGGGATATGATGTATTGGGCTGGACAAATAAGTATTTTCATGTACCCTTTGTGTTCCCATAGTCATTCTGTGAATGGATTTAATATATCTGATTAAAAACCTAGTTTTCCTCATATTTACAGTTTAGGTCAAAAAGCAGTGGCATCAACTTTGGTTATTTAGGAGTGTTTTGCTTAATCCCATATATTCGTGAATTTTCCAAATTTCCTTCTGTTATTGATTTCTAATTTCATTCCATTATGGTTGGAGAACATACTTCGTATCATTGCAATCCTTTTAAATTTATTGAGACGTGTTTTATGTTCTAATATATGGCATATTCTGGAGAATATTCATGTGAATTTGAAGAAAATGTATATTCTGCAATCATATGAGAGCTATCATTTTAGGTTACAATTGAATCTTCTTTGGAAAAGCCTGAGGAATGAGATGTACTCACTGCCCATTAACATTGTCTACCTGTAAAGAGGGGTAAAACATTAATTTAACATAGCATGAATATATTAAATCAATCTTAAAAATGAACTGCACACACTCACAGGATATTATTAATAGTTGGCCAATTTTATTTTAGCTTATAAAAGCCTATAAAAGCTATGATAGCCTATAAAAGCTATCATATATACAAATAAAAGATTCTCCATTGGTTCTTATTCTGCTAGATTTTAAGTTGTGAGGATGTGAGGCAGGGGCAACTACGGTCATCTTGCCACCTGTGAGGAGTGTTCATCTGAGAAAAGGACCAATTTCAAGAAAGTAGGATCGAGGTAAGACAAAAGAGGAATCGGGAACTGGGTAATATCATTTGTGTTCCTCCATCAAGCTTCATCTGAACTGTAATATTGTGAAAGATACATTTGGTCTTCAACCCTATTTCCTAGGATACAAATCTTAAAATCTTTGGAATCTTCAAAGTGATAAGTATTTTTTCATATGCTATTGAGTTGACTTATGGCTCTCAGCTCCTTGGTAGCTTCAACATGGGGGCTGGTCACTAGAAAGAACAAAGCATGACCTCCAGGAAGAGGAGAGGGGCTGAAGTTTAAGTTGATCACTAATGGCCAGTGCTTTAGGCAATCATGCCTATATAATGAAGCTTCCATAAAAACCCATAAAGGACTGGGTTCAGAGAACTTCCAGACAGTTGACCACATGGAGGGTCCTAGACGGTGGCACACCCAGGGAGGACATGGAAGTTCTATGCCCCTTCTCATACATCACCCTACACATCTCTCTATCCATATCCTTTGTAAACTGGTAAATGTGTTTCCCTGAGTTCTGTAAGCCATTCAAGCAAATTAACAGAACCAAAAAGAAGGGGTTTGGGGGACTCTATATACAGCCACTTGGTCAGAAGCACAAGGAAAACAACCTGAAACTTGCGATTGGCATTGGAAATGGAGGGCAGTCCTGTGGGACTGAGCCCTCAACCAGTATGATCTGATGCTATTCCAGTGTAGCACTGAATGGAATTGGATGACATCCAGCACCTGGTGTCTGCTGTAGAAAAGAATTGATTGCTTGCTTGCTGGTGGGGAGAAATGATCACACATCTGGTGTCAGAAGCATGCCATGAGAGTATATAGTGGGAGAAACTGAGTTAGTTTTTTCCACAAGGACTTTTCAGGAATGTGACTATGCTGCACTCACTAGAATTCACTGATGGGAGAACTATTAATATCTCCATCACAATCAGACAGCCACAGCTCAGTGTCCTGTGGGACAACAAGGCTATGGAGACTGGAATGGTCTAGCATCATTTTTTATTACTAGATTCCAATCCCAGTCCATGCTCTGGCTATTCCAAGCCACTGACACTGGAGAAGGAGCCCTGGTGTTGGTCCTCACCTAGCCATCTGGAAATTCTAACTGCTTTGTTCCAAACCCCAATCGCAGGGATGTTGGAGGAAGCCAAGAAGAAGCAAACCAATCACTATTGCAGAATTCTGGAAAGGCTCGAGAAGAGCCACATCCACAGTGTAGGAGCTGAAAATAGGAGAACTGGCTGAAGGTTTGTATAGGACACTGTTAGATTCCAAATCCTTTTCCTCATTTTACACAATCACACAACTACCCTTCTTCAACCTCAGCAGAATACTAAAGATTTACTTTCAGAAGAAGTTGAGCCAAAGGGACTTCAGACTCAAGAAGACCTTCAGGAATGCTATTATGAAAGTAGAGTCCTAAGTGGACACGTAGGAATTACATTTATCAGGTATTGGGCAGGTGGGAGGGGGTCAGAGGGGACGGGTATACACAAACACAATGAGTGAGATGTGCACCATCTGGTGGATGGGTCACGCTTGAAGCTCTGACTTGGGGCGTGGGTGGGCAATATACATAACCTTAAAACTTGTGCCCCCATAATATGCTGAAATAAAAAAAAAAAAGTCGGCATACTGAATAGAACCATCCTCCTCTTGTCCCATTCCCTGCCCCACCAACTCTTAGCTCCAAGAACACTAGACATCAGGCTTACAGCAGACCAGCTCTAGAGAAAACACTCACAGAATCTAACAGCTGAGGAAGTCTCCTAACAAAATGGCCAAGTCTCAGCCCAATTACCCTATGGAAAAGTCCACTGGTCAATGAACCCCTTTCATGTCCATACATCAGCTTTTTAATGCTCCACTTATAGAAACACACAACAGAAGATCATCAAACATTTGAAAAGATCTCTCACATCAAAGACAGCAACAAAAACAACAAGAAAACAATGGACTCAGAGACAATGTAGATTACAAAAGGAAAACCTCAAAAAGCTGTCATTAAAATCCTTAGAGAAGATATTGCACTAGTGAAACCAAAAGCAGGATGCTAATTTTTAAAATAAAAATAACTTTCACAAAATAAGAAAATGATTTCGGAACTATCAAAATTATTTAGAAGAGCAGAAGTAAAGTCTTACAAAAAGTAGAACAAAAAGATGAACAAATGAATGATAAAAAGATTCAAAAAAAAAAGATTAATTCAAAAGTTCTAACATGCTAACAATAAAAATTACAAATAAAGAGAATAAAGAAAATGGGGGAAATTAATTACCAAAAAAAGCACAATTCCTAGAAATGAAGAGCATGCATCTCCAGATTGAAAGGACATAACACTGAATGCCCTTCCATAATTACTTTAAACAAACACACAGTAAGGCTCATCACTGAGATCTCTGAAGATAAATTGTCATTACTCAGTTCAGAGAAATCAAAAATTAAAACATCAACATATAGGCTAGGCATGGTGGCTCCCACCTGTAATCCTAGCACTCTGGGAGGCTCAGGTGGGAGGATCACTTGAGCTCAGGAGTTGGAGACCAGCCTGAGCAAGAGCAAGACCCTGTCTCTACTAAAAATAGAAAAATTAGCCAGGCATTGTGGTGCACGCCTGTAGTCCTAGCTACTTAGGAGGCTGAGACAGAAAGATCCCTTGAGCCCAGGAATTTGAGGTTGCAGTCAGCTACAGTGATGCCACTGGACTCCACCCAGGGTGACAGAGTAAGACTCTGTCTCAAAAAAAAAAAGAAAAAAAATCTCATACGAAAGGGATTTTTCTCAATAATGAAGTGCCAATAACAGATAAATTCCTGCTTTTACAATATATATTTATCTCAAATAATTATAAGCTAAATTATATCTTACATACATTAAAAGAGCTTCCTATTTTAAAGAAACAAACAAAAAACACAAAAAAATTCTTCATTGGGAGTATATTCAGGTAACTCTTATAATAATTAGAAGACTGAATTCTGCTATACCAGAAGTTTATTTATTGACTTTTAAAAAGTCTAGGCCAGTCATAGTGGCTCATGCCTATAATTCTAGCACTTTGGGAAGTTGAGGTAGGAGGATCACTTGAGGCAAGGAGTTAGAGAACAGCCTGGGCAACATAGCAAGATTCCATCTCTACCAAAAATTTAAAAATTAGTGGACATGTTGGCATGCACCTATAATCCCAGCTACTCAGGAGATTGAGGCAGGAGCATTGCTAGAGTCCAGGAGTTCAAGGCTACAGTGAGCTATGATCACATCACTGCTCTCCAGCCTGAGTGACAGAGACTTGTCTCAATCAGTCAATAAAACAAAATAAAATAAAATAGTCCATGAAGCTTAGAGATATCTATTTTCTTAGATCTCATTTACTCTTACATTTATTTATATAGGTTTTAACTATATTCTCTACTTATTTTTCCTTCAGCATCTAAAATACAAAAGATTTAACAACATTAATGAGAATTTGTGTTACCTCTAAATATACTAACACTCTTGACATTTTAAACTAATTCCCTCTCATCTTAAGGGTCACTGCTTACCTTGAGGATCAACTTCTTTAGCTAGCTTCAGTGCATCTGAGTTTGCAAGATCAGTGTTGGCTGGGGTAACAGCCAAAATCAAACAATTCTCCCTCGTGATGAACTGCATAATCATTTCTCTGATCTGATACTCAATATCTGGTGGCTGATCTCCCACGGGCACTTTAGTTATTCCAGGTAGGTCGATAAGGGTTAGATTTAACACTGTGTGGAAAAGATAAGAGTCTTACATATACCTTCAATGCTAAACAATAACAATAAAGAATCAGCTGTTACTTAGCTCAGCTTTATTCACTGCATATCTGAACGACTCCAACCCAAGTGTGTTAGAATAAAAAGCACAGAATGCAAAATGATTTTGCTTGTTTTTTCTATTTTTATGATATGATTGTGCTATGCCAAATGATCACTTCAACATAATTTGAAAGGCACTTATTTGCATGCCTAACAGTTTTCTCCAAGAGCTGTCATATCTGTAACTAGGGAGTTATAATTAAAACACTGAACATTAAATGCATATGCTGCCTGTCAGCCTTGTACATCACCTTCAAATGGTATAACAATTCTCAGGGTAAAATCTGCCCTTCCCTTAAAAAGTATCATATTCTATTTGTAGGTTAGCCACTTCGCCTCGTACAAAGCTGTTAGCCATTTGTGGTGCCCTAAGTTTACTGAGCAGGCTACACAAGCAGAGTCAGTGACTCCGACTCCAGTCTAACCTCTCTGTATACAATGTATTGGCATCGAGTCCCCTTGGGAAGGCATAATTGAGCTTATACCATTCATATTCTGTTCCAAAAGCAACAGAGCTAGGTAGAGGAAGAGAAAAGAAAATCTGTCCCACTCAAAATTTAGTCAGAATAGAGGCTATTTCCCATCATATATCATGAATTGGATTATCTAATTTGTAAGTTTCTGCTGCTAGTCCATGGGGGAAAAAATCATGGTTGATTCCTCAGGAAAATAAATAAATAGGAAAATATAGCGCTGCAAGGAAATGAAACAGCGGAAGACTAAACCGTAGTACATGTACCACTAAGATTTCTGCAAAGACTACAGATATTAAAAATGCAAGTTTTCATATATACCCCTCTCAAATTCTAAAAGTTTATAATAAAAATAAAGGAAATTTTTTAAATGACTAACTCGATTCTGATTTTTTTAAAGTCATCTCCTGACTCTCCATAAATATTCAAAGAGCTCTTTTAAACCAGACCATTCATTAATGGCAGTGTCAAACACTATCCAAGAAACCAGCACTACTTGTATCTTCTATACAGATAATGTATGTTAATTAATGTAGTAAAAATTTTTGAGAAGAATTTGAAATTTTATTATTTTACTTACCATGTGGGGAATAGACTCGTAAATTAATGGGTATAGAAGAGATGCCTTTATTTATTCCGGTCACTCGATCTGTTTCCGCTTCAATCTCGTGGCGAACTTCATCGAAATCTGTGAATTTCTTTCCTTTGCAATGTAGAAATTCAGCATATTCTACAAAAGACAAAATAATGCAACCTAAATGCATGTGATTTTTGCCATAATTATAAGAAAACATGTTTTTTTTAATTATAAGCCAAAGTATCCAATAGTTGTCTCTTCAACCATCATAATGACAGAGCACAATAGAATAAGAATCACAGTTAATACTGGGAAATAGTAAACATAGTACAAATGCTGTGAATGCTAAATTTGCTAATTTTCAGATAAGCAATTAAGTACTATAAGCACTTCTTAAAACACCTAGCCTATTAAATAATTTAAAGAGAATTTTGGCTGTCCAAATGATAAAATAAATAACAGCACCGCATTGTCAAAGACATTCTAGGGAACCTATGAATCCTGTTAGTATTTCCCTTTTCAATATCACCAGCTCATCAAGACAGAATGCTAACATATATAAATATATCCTCAGAAGGCAAGGTGAATTAGAAACAAAATTTATTTAATTCTTTAAAAAGAAATAACATGTAGAATATTTTAGCTTAAAAGCATACTATTCAAAAGACTACATCAACTTGGGGAAAGACATTTTCTCAAGAAAAAAAAAAGATAACAGAGTATTACATCAAATATACTTACCGTAATCCAAAAAAAAAAAAAAATCAGTACCTAGGCAGAAGGAAAAACCACAAAAATAACAGGAAACGAGTATTTTAAAAAATTTAAGTAACATATTAATAACTGTAGTACTGTCAATTTCTATACCTACATCCAGAAATGACAAGTATATGAAAAAACAACACAATTTAAAAAGGGAAGCTGTACAGTATTATTATATTTAAAACGAGTATAACTTTAACAAGAGAACAAGTCTTAACAAATATTTCAGTTTGTCTAATAACTAGCGGAAGAATTGCTCTGCCAAATTTAGACAAAGGCTAAGCATCTTGGACCCAGATGCCAGCTGAGGCAATTAATAGTAGCCTTTCTACCATCCCCCACCATAAACATTTAATTTTCACCTTTGAATATTAAATGGCAAGGCCAATAGGGAGACAGTTATAAGATATGGTCGCCTGTCTTCAGGCAGCTTAGCATTAACTCGAAGAGCTAATGATTATATCGTGGAGAAAAAAGATAACACAAGCAGCAAGAAATAAGTGCTGATCTGCACTAAAATGATGTGAAAAGTAGAGACTGGATAAATGGCTTCAACCTGCAGTGCCCAAAAAGAGAAGTAGGATACAAACTGAACCCCGAAGATTGAAGAGGATTTCAATATGTACAGGGATGCTGTTTGTATTAGAATATAAAGCCAGAAGATAGAGCCTTCATTTTATTACCCACTCAGTGCCTAGGCCAGTACCATGAATGTAAGAGTTTAAAGATGAGTAAAGGGCAAAAGAGTAAGAAAAACAATGAGGAACGAAAGGAGTCAGATTCCAGAAAATAAGCAAAAATTAATAAATAAAAATGAGTCAGGAAGAATTTAGACGAAATTGAATTATATTTTTTCAGCTCAATATATTTTGTGGGAAATGCACACTTGAGGATTTACGGCTATCACAATTGTTACTGTCACAGAGTTTATAAGCTTCTGGATCAGGGACATTTTCAATTGTCATTAATCAATAAAGTTAACACAAATGTGAACTTCTCTTGTTGCCACTAGATGGCGCCTACTTGCTTTCTCTGCAGAAAACCAATGCCCTTCCAGAAGGTTGTAAAGTCAATGCAATTTTCAAATGTGTTTTAAATTAGTTCCTGGACTCCTAAAAAGGCTTTTATCTTGAAATTGAGAGATTATAATCATGCAGGACCATCTCAAAGGATAGGGTTTTTAAGGATAGGGTTTCACCGGCAGATTCAGGGATGCCGGTAGTCATTTATTTATCTGACTAATATTTATTAAGCTCCTACTACTTGCCAAGCACTGTTTTAGAAACTGGGATACAGTAAAGGGGAAAAAATAAGCCTCTAGCCTCACAAAGCTTAAATTCTAAGGAGGCAAAGTAAAACAGTAAACAGTGTGCATGTGCCAGATGCTAAGTGCTATGAGAAAATAAAACAGCAGGGAGATACTAAATGCTCTGGGGGAGGAAAGTTGCAGTCATTCCACAGAGAAGCTTTCTCTGATATGATAAAGTGGCATCGAGCAAAGACTCAAGAAAGGGAGGGACCACGCCATGCTGGATGCGTTCGGGCAGGGTGTCTGAGCAGCCGTGCACCCCGCCTCAGGAGAGGACAGTCCACACGGCTGGAGCACTGGGCATGCAGGGCACAGAGGGAGGAAGACAGGCCAGAGCTGTGGACAGACCTGGATTTGGAGGGCCTGTGGGCCATCTTAAGGACCTTAATCTTTATTCTGTGTGTGATGTTATAGCTTTTTTGGGGGTTTTTGTGTAGGGGGGATATGCTGTGTGCTGTCTTTTTGACACCTCTGTGTGTTGTGTTTTGGGGAGGGGCCGGGGGGAGAGAGAGGGGATGTGGATCTGAGCACTCTTGGTTTTAGATGTTGTGGCTTTTGGTCTGAGGTGGACTGGGTTGGTTGGTGGGTGATTGATTACAAAACAAAACAGTCTCTACTGATGGATTAGAGCTGGGTGGGAGAAAGACAGGCATCAAAGGTAACTTCAAGGAGTATGACCTCAGCAAGCAGAAGGATTTTGAAATAGGAAAGACTGAAGGGAAGAGGCAGGGATGGGATGGGATGGGGGTTGGGCTTCAGGAGTTTGATTTGGGACCAGCTTGTGTCACCCATCACAACACCGGAGTGGAGGAACAACCACTGCTAAGGTTGAGGATCGCGCGGCTGGAGGAGACATTCACAGTCATCCGGTAGGTGTCTGTTTACTCTGAAAATTTTCCAGAAGATGGCAGTCAAGTGCTTGAAGAAAAGGGCAGCTTTTTCTAATTAGCACAAAAATGCCTTTGAGGCTCAGATACATGAGAAGGAAGCAGGTCAATCAAGCCAGAGATGCATATTTGGGATTCATTAAAGCGAGGTGAGTGATGAGATCACTAAGTGAGAACGCTCGATAGGGAAGAGGTCAGAGCACTGGGCCCTGGGTTTGCCAAAGTTCAAGGGTCAGGAGATGAAGACTGAAAAGGCAGGAAAAAAAAACAAGAGATCCTCCACTCCATCAAACCCTGCTAACATGTTAAGGAAGATGAGGACTAAGAATGGATCATAGAATTTAGCAACTTGAGAGTCCTTCGGGAGGCTGACAAGAGCTGTTACAGTAGAGTGGGATGGGTGAAATCCTGTTTGGAAGAGGTTTAAAGGAGAAGAGAGGAAGTAGAGACTGATTACAGATCATTCCTTTAAGGAGTTTTGTTGTAAAGGTGAGGGAAGAGGCGAGCAGGCAGCTGGAGAGGGATGTGAAGTCGAGGGAGAGTTTCGTGAAGATGACAAGTGAATGGCCTGCTCACAGGCTAACGCCAACAACCCAGTATTGAGGGAAAGGTGATGCAGAAGCAAGAAGGGACGATGCTGAAGCCATGTCTTAGGGAAGAGGGGGTGGGAGGCCAGAAAAGAGGAAAGAAGCATGCCAGTCAGCACATCCATAGCAACAGGAAGGAGGCAGAACAATGAGTGCAGAGGAGACGAATTAGGTAGAACTGATGGTGGTGGGAGTGTGTGAGATTCATCCAGTGACAAGGGGGGTTTGTCATATTTATCTGAAGTCATTTTATATCATATATATATACATATATATATATTAAGATATATATACCCAGTGATTAAACTGTATAAATACTATTACTTCTATCACAAAATACATCTCTCTCTCTCACACACACACACACACACAGCCATAGAGTGATTCTAAATGATGACCTAAAAGCTAAGAGTAACCATAGCAGTGATGTCAACTTGGGTCTAATCTATGTCCATCACTGGGGGTCAGACCTGCCCAGCATATCAGGAAAACTGATGCGGCAGGAGCCACAATATGCTTTTTTCAGTGGAACCCAGAGGCTCCTGGGAAAGAATTCATCCTACAAAATGGAAAATTCAGGCAAAACCAGCTAACCTGAGTTGTCGGGAAGGGGCTGCCTGTAACCCATCTTCTACCTAGCCCCAGAGACTCGTGGTCTGTGTGCCCTTGTCTCTAACTAGAATGACCATTGTCAGATCACACATCCCATTTTCTTGTTATAAAAACATGGTAACCATAACTATTCTACAATTCACGGCTACAAGATTATACTTATCAGTAAGGTGAGCTCCACTAGCAACAAGGTAAGCCAGTCCTGCTATGGGTGCCTGCACCCCAGCAAGCAGACCACAAATAGGTGGACAGCAGAGGTGGTACAAATGTTTTTGCACAGTTGACCACAATTGCCATTAAGCATGATCATTGATCAGCTAATATCCTTATACAATTCCTAAATAAAACTTTGTTAGCAGCACAGGGTTGAAAAAATTTCCCGGTTTGCCCCCCCCCCCCCTGTTATTCAAAAACACAACGAGATGGAAATCTTGGAAAAAACTATCAAAACCTAATTCATCACTTACTATACTTACCTCTGAAAAGAATGTGCACATGAGTTTGTGGATAAACAAAATTCTAACATTTAAGCCAAATTCTATAGAACAAGCTGTCCTACCTGATCAACAGCTAGACTTTTTAAGAGCTGGTAAATGTGTGTCTTCCAAGATTTTTATGCCATGGGAAACTATTACAATATATCTGTAGGTTTATACAATTTCATCTTATGGTTTTGAGATATATTCTTTCTGACAGAAAGGTACAATTTCCAGGGGCATGAGCTCTCTTGACATGTTCTCAGTATTCCTTTCATTGTAAGTGCTTGGTAATGGGTACATGAAATGCTTTCTTTCTCAAACAATTCCAGGCTTCAGCCCAGCATCAATCTGAATAGACAGTGTATTAAATTTCCCAGCCACAAGCTCACATAAAGGATGCAGGCTATGTGTGTATAACCATTGAAGCCCTCATAATGCATCTACAAAATTCTATTTTGCAGCAGTATAGCCTGTCTTACTGAAATTCATGTTTTGGTTTCTAATAAAACTCCTATGG